TTTTCTTGTCTTTTTCTATCTCCCTTTCCCTACTCCTCTCTCTATCATACATCTCCTTACTATGAATGTCATCCTCTTCAACATATCTTCTATAATTAGAATTATTTTGCCTTGCTTTGTCCCTCACCAACTCCACACTACCATGCCTACCATCCCTACTGGCTCCTCGTTCATAATGATACTTCCTCTCCAAAAAGCCCTCATCTTCCACTAAGCTTTGGGATCGAGATCTTGTCTTCTCAAGTTCACATGATCTTGATCTATTCCTACAATCAACCTCACCATGATGGCTGCTGGACAGCAAATGAGCTGAGATCTCGTATTTTTTACCAGACCCTTCAGAAGACAATGAGTTTCTCCTTTTGCTTGATTGGCTTTCATCCAAGTCCATGCCATCAACACCATTGTAACCCTTTCTTTTGCCACTTCTTTTTGAAGGAGACCCAGACTCCCTCTGCCCCTTCTCATCCTCCCTACGAAATCTGCAACCTAAATCTCCATTGACTTGATCCCCTCTAACAATTATAGGAACTGTATGATTTTGAGGATCCACATTACAAGTTGTCAGCAATGTAACCTCTACATCACTCTTATCACCTACACAAGGGTGAGTCACCAAACCCTCAGCCCTATCACCACCTGAAATCTTTGAAGTTTTAGAATTGTTTCCCACATGCTCATCAACAGGATGATTATCATCACCAACTAGCTGCAAATAAAGACCAATAAAGCATAAGCATACAAACTCCAAAATTATCAGACCTGAAATACAATATTAGAAAATAAATAACTTAGCAAAATATAGAGAATAAATATTCAAAAGAGGGAAAAAAAAAAACATGTAACCAGCTCTTACAAAGGAATAGTAAGCCATCAGTCTCCATTGAAACGCCTAGGGAACCTCTTTTGCAATTTCACTCATGTTCGTGCAGTGCAAGCAGGTTCTTAGATATGTGTGGGGACACTCATAAGGGTAAATCTAACAAGCTCTCACCAAAGGAAAATTCATTATAGATTCAAAAAGACATAAAACAAATATACACATATATACAAAAGAGACAGACTACTGTCCAGATTTAGGATTCCCAAACTTGATAGCAAAAAAATAAAGCTCCTTAAGGTAGACCAGCGGGAAACAAAAGTTTAATTTCCGAGTAGCACGTAAAAGAGAGAAAGAAATTTACCCAATTTCGAATAAAAATCCAAATTTTTTCAGTAATCAAACAAATATAAATCGCATAGATGAAACAATAAAATTTTAGAATGCCCGACAAAAGCAATTAGAACACACCAGATTACTGTTGCAAAAATCATCGGCTTTGATTTCTCCAGACTCGGCATCAGACTCCCATTTCTTCTCTAAAGACTCAGCGAAACTTTGCTCTTCGAGAATCTCTCCCTCTTCCACGTCATCGTCGGGTTTAGAATCGCCAACGGGGAGCGACGGAGGAGAAGCAGTATCTTTACGACACCGTTGAGCGTCGTCTTCGTTTTTTTTGCTACGACTATGGCGGCGATGGTGCTTGTGATGCTTGTGGTGGCGGTGCTTGTGTCGTTTTGAGGATTTATCGGTGTCTTCATCGTCGGACGATCGTCGGTGCTTACTGTGGCGAGATTCCAGCAGCGTCTCGCTAGCCATTCAAGTGTTGCGATGAAGAAACCAGGGTTAGGATTAGGGTTAGGGCTTGTTTCAGCTGTGCTGATCTCGTATTCGCGGTGGTTTTTCTGTTAGGAAAGAAAGGAGTGAATTTTGTGAGATTCCCGTTCCGTGGTTTGGACTTGAGAAGACTACTGGTGAGATTTCGATTTGCCTTATTTGGGCCTGCAGCAAGGGCAGCAGTTACGCCGCACGTGCGAGAGATAAAGCGTGCCGGCGGCTGTCTCTGGCTCTCTGCGTTGAAATTAAGGCTGTTTGGATTCTCGCACGCGTGCAATGTCAAACAAGATTGCTCCTTAACTTGGGCCTTAACATGGGTTTTTAGTGGGTAGATCGAACCGCGCTGAGGGCATAAAGTAAACAAGGCTCAGCACAGTTCGTCAGCCCAGCCAACAGTCGACATAGTTTGGGCTAGACCTATTCATCCAAATTGGTCAAAGTCTTCTGGTTGGATCCTAAAGATTATGTGTTTTTCATGTATTATCAAATAATAAACATTTTATATATGTGTTTTTCATGTTTTTATTCGCCCCTTTAGGTATTTATAGCGAAAACCGATGTGCCAAACTCTAGACCTACTGACCAAAATTAGTTACTGTCTTCATATTATAACCTAAAATAATATATGTATTATCACATTGATTAACATTTTATACGAGTATATTTAATCTTTTTTCATAAGCCCTTAAATTATTTTTATTAGTCCTTATCGGTAGGAAGACTCATCTCGTTTTTTAGGATCGGCAAGAAAGCACTCCTTTAAAAGTTTAATATTGATAGTTCTATACAAAGTAATGGTAGAAATGCAACAATTAATAGTCTCATTAAGAAAAATTATAATCATTAAATCGTTAGCTTTACTTACAACCTTAGTACTATTAGTTCTATGCTAGTCAAAATTCATGAAATCTTAGAATATGTTAAATTTATTAGAATAAAAGTAATTCATTAAAAAATATAATGAGAATAGATTGTTATTTATAAAAATTGAGAGTCATATTAGAACTTTTTTTAAATTGAATTGAGACATTCAAATCTTGCATATACATTGTGAAAGTAATATTTGTCATGATATCGTGAAAGTAATATTTGTTCTAATCGTTTGACTCAATAAATTCATCATATTTTAATGAGATATATCATGCTCTAATTTTATCTTAGTTATTGTGATATTGTTTAAACATATTTAATCAAGTATTAACTTTTTTATATATATTACTTTTATTATTGTAATAAAAAATATATTATTTTTTGAACTCTGAATTCCGCAACAGCACTTAAAAACATGACAACTTAAACTAAATAAGTATTTTTCAATTAAAATTGAGTAAATATTACCATAATGGCTTGAAACATACTTTTTTTTTATTGAAATAGATATAATATTATAGTGGCTTGAAATAAACTTATTTTAAGAGATAAAGAGAAAGATGTGCCCCAATATTTTATTGCTTAGTTTTAATATTAAAAAAAAAAATCCTTCAAGTTAAAAATCATAAAAATATATATATATAAAAATAGAACACACATTGGAGGCACTATATATATATATATATATATGTCCATTTGAACATCTCAATAACAATGAGAGAATCTGCTTACAAAGAGTACGTAAAAAATCATTGGGTATTGGTGATGGGTGTCTGGTCTTGTTGTGCATTGTTATCACCGAATTCTTGAATTTCCAAAATCTCAACTCTGCGGTTCATCTTCCTTCTCAGCTTTATTGCAACATCTGAGGGTCTGAATCTCCCACAAGCAACCACTCTGCAATGCTGCCTCTCTATCAGATGTGTCTCTATTTCTTCACACACAAGAAAAATAACAAGTAATTGCGTTTTTCTTCAATATTTTTCATATTAACAGAAGTAATAATTTTATGTATATATATATATATATATTACCTTTCATATTGAGAAGAACTCTCCTGGCTTTCCTGCAACAAGCATTACAATCTAAGTTAATCCTCATCACCATACAACATACCTGCTATTGAAGGGAAAAACAAAAAGGGTTTTCAGTACATAATCTTCATTCTTGTTCAATCTGTTTAACAGGAAAAAAAAGAAAAAGAAACAAGTTCTGAAAGATTGAATTATAAAACTTGCCCTTTCTGACATGAAAGTAGGAAGTAGAGGGAGATGAAACCGATGAAAATTTGCTGCTTTGACGAGATTTTAAATGCGAGAAGCAGCTCATTTATCTATTTTATGGTTTCCTTCTTCAAAATTCTTCTCCTTCATTTTGGAATCTGATTCTGCTTATAAGGGCTAGAAAGAAGGCAGCGTTTGCCCTGTTTAGCTTTTTATCCTTGACTTCGTGTAAAAGGCTTTGTTCCTCTTCTCACAGCAAAGTCTATCAATACATAGATATATATACATATAAACGTTGGTGTATTTAGGAGGTATTCGTCATTAAATTCAGCATGTTACCTCATGCAACATCAAGAAGCATCCCTTTCTTATTTCCAAAGGTTTCTGTTGCATAAAATTTAGCTTTTGTGCAAAGGATCTTGACAAAAACCAAGACATCTTTATAATAATATTTCGCTTTGCAATCAAAGGA